AAGGTTATAGAAGCCAGTGGTTTTGAAACTGAAAGTGCTACCTTTTGTCCTTGACAATAACCACAAAGGCCGTGCGGTCGCAGTGAGAGAAGCAGCTGAGTGCAACACATTATCAGTGTTGCTATCCCAGGCTTTGAGAAATCAAAGCCTGGCTGTTAAGATTATGTTGTTAAAAAGACCCCAAAAGCCACTGGGAAGGTTTGACTTCTTTATCTTTGGCTTCTGGTTTCAGAACCTTTCAGGTGCTCTTAGGCCACACACGTTCGTTGGGGTTTGGGGGAAAACGGATCACGATAGTGACGCACTTATAGGAGTTGGCAGAGCTGCGTTGCTGTGCAGTCGCACATGCTGTGGCCCTTCAAGGGTCGTTGAGCTGATGGGCTGACAGTAGTACCCAAACTCCTGGGAGCTGGTGTGTCCTTGGGGTAGTGCTGCTGGCATCTGTTCCACCCCATCCTTGTGTGTCTGCTGTGCCAGGAAGGGAGTTTCCTGGAACTGCTCAAAGCTGATCATTTCAAAGCCATGTCACAACAAAACACAGAAGAAATGAGTGGGGTGGGGGAACCTGAATAACATCACTAAAACTTTGCACCTGCTTAGAGAAGAAAGGGATGAGAAGCAGAGGAGCTCTGCCAGCTGGCAAGAAGTAAATAGAGAAGAGGAAGGTTGCTGAGACATAACATGTTGCCATTGTCAGGGCTAGCAGTCAATGGAAAAGAACAAAAGCATCCACAGGGTGAAGAAGCCTGCTACATTTCAGCCCGCCAGCTCAGTGTTTGGCCTCTTAGCAGTGCCAAAGTTCATGCCCATGTCTGGTGGGAACCCTGCTTATCTGCCAGGCTGAGAGCAGGAGAGATCCTGCCAAGTAGGATACTTCAGTGTGACCTGTGCTGGCTTGGTAGCTATGGAGTAGAGAGTCCTCCTTCTCTGAACATGTACAGTGTGGGCAGTCCTGCTTTTGGTGTCTCATACCACCGCCTTTCATGCTTGACCAGGAGGGTACATCACAATTTATGTGCAAGGAACTGGTGGTAGTACTTAAAGTACTGGGCTGGGCCCTGGGAAATGGGGTTCTATTCCCAGCTGTGGTTCTGGCCTTTTGAGTGATGTCAGACAAGTTTTCTTCCCCATCTGTAAAATGGGGGTAATTATACAGACATCCTTGTAAAGCACTTTCCAGAGTTACAGATAAACAGTGCTGTACAAAAGCAGGCTATTCTTGTGCTAGAGCCATCTACGGAAGGACTATTAAGCTCTCTGCTCCAAGGCATGACACTTCCTTGTACGCAGCCCAAAAGCACATTGGCTATTTTTGTGACCGGGTCTTTATTCAAATTTGCGTCAGATTCTCTTTCTCCTATGGCTGCTAGTTCTCTTTCAGCCAGGGCTTGTAAACATCCAGCATGCCCCAATACAGCATGCTGGCATCTCCCTGAAGCCACCAGCTTGAATCTCTTGCTTTCTCTCTCTTTTTTTTTTTTTTTTTT